TCAGCCCCCAAAGCCGACGGGTCGAAGAGGGACATCCAGTCCCCCCCGAACGCCGCGCTGCTCAGGAAGCTCGTGTCGGCCATGTTTCGGGGCTTCGCAGGAATCGAGGAACGAGCGGGACTCGAAGGTGTCTCTGTCGCTTACAGCAACGCTGCTGCTGGAGGCCGTGAAGGACCTGCGCGGGAGCCGGGGCCCGTCACAGCCCGGCCGCCCACCCGGGACGCGGCAGGGCCACATCGCGTCCCCCCGGCCCGGCCTCACAACATGGACGCCACGGAGGCTCGGCCGCTGCCCGCCGGCCGCCAGGGGAGGGTGTGGCCCCCGGGCCCCGCCCGCCCGTGACTCACGCCGCCGCCATCTTGGCTCCCGCCACGTTAGCCGGGCGCGGGCGGGACCCGAGCGGGATCGGGGCCGCCCGCCCAGAGCCTCCCCCAGCGGCGCCGGGCCACCCCAACAGGGCCACGCGTCCCGGGCGCTCATAAAACCGCCGCCCTCCGCGACGCCGCCCGGCCACGGGCCGCGCCCAAGCCGCCGGCAGGCCCCTCCGCCCCGGGGGACTTACGCCATGGCTGAAGCCGTTGGGGTGCCGCTGCAGCCTGGTGCTGCTGCCGCCGTTGCAAAGGCCAATGCTGCCGCAGGCACTGCTGCCTCTAATACGCCATGGCGGCCGCGGACGCGCGGGAGCGAAGGAGAGAAACGCCGCGCTCGCAGGAAGACCTACATCTGCTGGCGGGAGAAAAAGAAATGGCGGCGGCTGGCCGGCTGCGGGCCCTTTATAGACTCGCTCTTCGCGAGCTTGCATGGTGGAGTGTATCCTTCCGCATGATCACGTGACCTCGCCTCCCACCCACTCCTTTTCATCTACCGAAGCCCCCACTGTTTCTAGCCCTCGACTTTTATGATCATGGCATGGCTGTGAAGAGAAAGTGAGCTCTTCTCAAGCTTTCAAGAAAGGAAAAGGCGCACTACTTTACAAGCCTTCTAAGATCAAAGCGTCTCCCTTCCCCCTGCCGCCGCGGCGCGCGGAGGGATCCTGCAGACGCGTCTCGTTTCCGGTTTAGCTCCGGGGGCGGGCGGACGGAGGGGGAAATGGCTTTCCTCCCAAAGAAGGTTTTTATTGTGAAGTCTGAGGCCTCCTGGTTATCGCGCGAGATGCTGGCGGAGAGCGCGCGTCGAGCTGATTGGTCAGGCGTGGTGAGTCATATATACCTCGAGTCCCTATTGGCTCAGGCTCCGAGGTGGGCGGGCTGCTCGGTGAGAGGCCGGGGTCTGAGCAGCCAGGGGCGGAGCAGCAGGTGTGGTGCCCGCTGCCAGGGTCTGTAGTCTGCCGGCACTTCTCGGTCACTCTCTGCAGTGGCCTCCTTGGCCCGGCCCCCCCCACCCGTAGTCAGCCATGATTGCGCCGGCTCTTGCCCCGGGCATTTCTTGCCCAGTGCGTCCGAAACAGCGGCGCCAAGCCTCGGTCCTTGCGATCCCTTCCCGTCGCCCCCGTTGAGCTCCGAACTTGCGACCAGGTTCAGGCCCGAAGGGGAAACTGGGCAAAAAAGGCCATTTCGTGTGTGTTTTCACCACCGGCAAGCCCTTCAGTCGCTGGAAGCGGGGACTGCGGGCCTCGTCAGGAGGCCGCGAACGTGCCGGCCCGGGTCAGAGGCGCGCCCTGCCTCGTCACCCCGACTTGGGCGAGTGGGAGACGCCTGAGCCTGCAGCCCGGCCTGCAGTATCTGTACACATCCCTCCTGATCCAGTGCGAGCCTGCCGGCCTGTTAAAGTGTCGTTAGAAAGAGACGGCGGCCCAAGATGGCGCCGCCCGTGCCCAGCCCGCGTCACCGAGCCGAGGCTGACGCTTGACCCAATTGCATTTTCTGCCTCTCCCGGGAACGTGACCCTCCGACCCCCCCGCCGCCCGTCGGGAAGTTCCCTCGGCGATGGTCCACCTGGGAGACCTCGGCCGGCCCCCGAGGAAGGTGACCTTTCTGAAACTAGAACCCTGTGCTGGTACCGTGCTTGTCCCGCCGCCCTCGGCTCTCGTGACTCCTTTCTGTCTGGCAGATGGGATGCTGCCCAGTTCATGCGTTGTTCGATAGTCATTCAGATCTTTAAATTTACTCGGTGAAACTTTGTTTTTTATCAGTAGGCAACGTGTCACAGGAAATTGTTTTGGTTTATGTAGATTCAGTTCCCCTAAGGACCTGGGGAGAGTTTCTCAACTGGTTTCTCTCTAGGGTAGTTTCCGTGAACGTCCGAGTCTGACCCAGCACAGCCGCTTCCCGGCACGCCCTCCTCAGCGCCCCGTGAGCAGCTCGAGGACCCGCGCCCAACCCCAGGGGTTCGTGTTTGGAGCCGGACTCCGGGTCGGGGCCAGCACCTTGCTCTCCCTGCTGGGGATCTGTTCAGAGCACCGAGAAAGCTCTTCACCATCCTCCAGTCTCCTGCAGTCAGGCCCTGTAGGGGCAGAAACCTGGAGTTTCTGCCTTCTTTGCAGTGGGCCATACAAATATTATTTCCATGAGGACTGTGATGTTGAAAAATTTGGGAGGCACCATTCTAGGTAACAATAGACCATTCCTTGGCTTGATTCAGTCTAGCCCAGCAATATCTTTACAATGGTAAACCGAGGACTAATGGGATGAGGTGTCTTGCCCAAAATCACATAGCTCCCCGTGGAGAGAGTATGGGGTAGGGGTTAGAAGACAGATTTTAGGGGCAAACCCAAAAGAATTCTGGCTCTTCCATTTATTAGCTGAGACATTTTAGTTAAGTGACTTATGTTCGCTGAGCCTCAGTTTCCTCATCTGTAAAATGACACTGATGATGAGTATCCTTATCCTTAAAAAGAGGTAAGATCATATATGTAAAGCACTGAGCAAAAAGGGCCTGGTACCTGATGAGTGCTCAATAAATGGTTGCTATTATTACTATTATTAAAACTCAGGTCTTCTGACCCTGACCTCCCTATCTCCACTATATCATCCTGCTTCCTCAGAAGACTCCTATTATTTACTGAGATGAAACCAACTATAAATAACTGGTATATGCAAAGCACAGTGGGTGCCGAGACAAGTGTGGTTTTTCTTTCCCCTTGGGGGAATCACAAGTGTGGAGATATACAGAAGTTCTCTCGTCTTTCAGACCACAGGTAGTAAATAAGAATCCCTGAGCCACTAAAGTCATCTTCCAAAGGCCTAAGGACCCAGGGGCATGTCCTCCTTTTGCTGTATCGAGAGACTTGTCAGGAGGCACTGGATGACCATACAGATAGTTGAGAATTAAAGAAACACTGCCCCAGTTTTGAGCCTGCAGAGGTCACGAAGGACTGACTCCAGTGGCAGCCTGTGCCATCCATTCTATCATGGATCCAGATCAAGCACTTCAAAGGTGTTCCTAGCTGAGGATGGGGAACCAGTCCCACCAGAAACATGTGGATACATCTCATACCACATGCACAAGTCGAAGCTGCTGGAAGGGAGACTTATCTTCTTCTTCCTGTGCTGCGGGAGGACATCATGTTCCCCGCTTTATTTCCTCTCAAGGAGAAAAAGGATAGCAGTTCTCTGGGTCTCAGGGCTGAGCTGCTTCTCTCTGGACTAGCCAAGACAGGACAAGAAGTCTGGTGAGGGATTCCAAATCTACCAGCAACACATCGACTGCTACTGAAGGGCAGGCAAGTGACTGGAAGTAAGCGGTGGACTTGGCTTCAGGCACCAAGAGTTTAAAGGCTATGAGGTGATCAGAATGAAAAGGTGAATGACGCGCTGTATGCCCTCAACCCCGGAACCCGCATCTGGGGTATTCTGGCCACATAGGATCGGCAGTGTCTGAAAGGGCTGCAGCCTCACAGCTCTAGGCCTGTCTCTCCCCATCCTCCTTGGCCTTGAGTTCAGCAGGAAGGGCAGAGTTCTGACGGATCCTGTGAGAGCAGAGGTTCTCAGCCAGGGTCATGGTCTCGAGTCCACACGCAGGGATCCCTACTTACAGAACCCCTTGGGGCCTCTCCAGGGCCTTTGGATCCTGAAGCTGATTCCTTGTCAAAACCATTTGCGCTCTCACCCTGAGTGGAGTACCAGGGAGTGAGATCAGCTCAGCTGGAGTGGGAACAGGTGGACTGCCAGGGCCAGACCCAGGAGGAAAGACTAGGCCTCAACACAGCTTTTCCAAACATGAGCTTCAGTTATTTATTTGGAAAAAAAAGTCACAACCAAGCGTATACAGGAAAATACTGTTGTCCTGAACTCATGTTTTAGGAAGGGGAACAGGGAAAACCAGAATACACTTTGGAATTGATTAGGTCTTCAAGATGACGAGTCCATTTTTTAAGCATTAGGCTAACTATGTGATTTGCTAACCTAGATGGTGCAAAAAAACTTCCAGATGGACAAGTCAGAGCAGATGCTAGTACTCCAGGCAAAGGTGGGAGTTACTGAGTGGAAAGGCAGATGGCAGGGAGAGGCACTACATCCTTCCCCAAAGATTAAAATAGAGGCGGAGGGGACAAAACGTTGCCCTCTTCCATCCAACAATCGCAAAGCACTTGACTGTCTTCCACGTTTTACGATGAGGCTCGCCAGCAAACCCACCGGGACCAGGGCCGAGGATTCCCACTGCTTCTAGTACTGAGGACTTCTAAGAGTCGTGAAATGGCAAAGTTACGGTTTTTGGTTTTGTGAAACATAGTTAAGAGAGATGCCCTTAGAAAGATGCTCTTTAAGAGAGGAGATAAACTCAAATCACAGTTACACTTGACTTTGATAATTTGAGACTTGGTCTTTTTTTTAAGATTGGCCCTGAGCTAACATCTGCTGCCAATCTTTTTCTTTTCCTTCTCCCCAAAGCCCCCCAGTACATAGTTGTAGGTCCTTCTGGTTCTGCTTTGTGGGACGCTGCCTCAGCATGGCTTGATGAGCGGTGCTAGGTCTGCGCCCTGGGCCACCAGAGCGGAGCATGAGAACTTAACTGCTCGGCCACAGGGCCAGCCCCTGGGACTTGGTCTTTAAAATATTTTCTTTTTTGAGCTCTCCTTCCATGTTTTATATGGAATGTAGTCAGAGATGCCCGCTTGGAAAAACTGTAGGCTGTATAATGCTCACATTGGGAAAACTGAATCCTTTCTCTCAACAAAGAATAACCCATGCTTTTGCAACACTTCATCAGCCTTCCCCTCTCTCTTCCCTCTAATGGACACCAGATGGGGGCATGGGCACCATCAATGCCAGGTTCCGCCCCTTACCCTCTATACCAGCCGCCCAGGGCAGCAGGCAGGCACGTGGATTTTTAAACTCCAGCTGGATTCTGATGAACAGCCAGGGTGGAACGTCTCTCTCAGGGTTCTGGGCTTCCTATTTTCATTCTCTCTCAATACCTTCACACAAATGAGACAACGGAACCACTTTAAGGAACCCTTGCATGTATATGACAGAGGAGGCAGGAAGAGTCTCCACATAGAGCCAAGGTTAACCCGAGTTCTCAACCTGTTCATCCATGACAAAAAGGGGACAGGAATCCCTACCCTAAGTTCAAAGGGCAGCTGAGGTTTCAATGCTATTTAAAGAGTCATTGCATGTCGCTGTCATTGGGAAGGAATGAGACAGCTGCAGAGCGCGTCACCAGAACCTTACTGTGGAGAGGTAGTAAGAATAGAAAAACTAGTAAGACTTGATGGGAGGAGAACAAAATGCTGGATAGGCAGAGGAGAAACAGTATCATCAGCAGGCTCTTGCCAAAAACAGGAAAAAAGACACAAAACGAGAAGATGCACTGACATTGTGTATTCAATGCTCCTCCCCACCCGCAGGATACTTTTTACATTGCAGTAAATAGTGCAATCTTAGCAGCGGCAGACAAAGGATGCGGGAAGTGCCCACCTCCCTCTCACGTGTGCTAGCCATGTGCTCTCTTCTTAGGCGGCACCTGGCTCCCCAGGTGCTGGCTGAGAGGCAGGATGGGGCAGAGGTGTGTGCACATGTGCTTGCCCTTTGGCCTCAGAGGTGCCTGGAAAGTTCGGCAAACACCCCCCCAAACACCTACGGCAAACACTGGGGAAGGAAGGGCTGGCTGTGGGCCTGTTCTTGCTCTGAGGCAACATCCTAGAAAGGCAGGGCCTGACAGGGGAGGAACATGGTCACCGAGCCCCAACTGGAGACTGGATTTTCCAGCTGACGTTCAACCTCTACCACTAAGGCTGCGTCCTTGAAGGCCTTGTCCTAATTGGCACTAAGGCAAGGAAGGGGTGAACGGCAGCAGTCGTGCAGAGGAGCCGCCTGGCAGCCCCTTCCGTCCGTCCTCGTCTGACTCCTGCACACAGCGGTGCGGATAAGGCGCACACCAGGCACCAGACCTCTCCCAGGCTGTCTTCACCACCTCCGGTTTCCCCACTCTGCACTGACAGCCACTAAGAAAGACGATCTCCAAATGACTTTGCATCCAGTTTGTCTTGAGCCCTCACTCCTATGTGGTCAATAAGTGTTCCCATGAGAGACCTTCTCAGTACTTATGGGTACGACTTGGTCGGGAGGTGGGGAGAATGGGCTGCTTTTCCAGGAACCTGGGTCAAAGGCCAGCTCTTCGCCCAGCTTTACCCCCAGAAACCCTAAATACTGTCTGAGCACTCTCTGCAGAGTTCAGCTTGGAAACATGCAATCATAACTTCAGTGACATTCAACTAAAAGGCAACATCTCGAATAGGCAGATGTGCTCTGGGGAAAAGAGCAAATCAGAAGGCGCAAACAAGAGGAAAAGACAGAAGACACTGAAAAAAAAAAACAGGTCAAAGGGCAGGGCCGGGCAGACAGGAGCAGAAAACCCAGGCCAAAATGCAAAACGCCAAGTGGTCTCAAGAGCTCAGGCCAGTGGCTCCACCTTCTCAATTCATACCAGAAAAATTAAGCCTGGAGCAAGCGGGAGGGGAGGAGGGGGGAGCACAGTGTTTGGTAACAAAAAGAGAAAGGGATGGGTGAGAAAATAGGAGGCAAGAGATGTCATTCTAATCAGCATGAAGTGACCAGGGCAATGACCAGCGAGACAGGAGGCACCCAGGGACCCTGTGAGGCACCAACTATGTAGCCAAGTGTTTCTAACGGAGAATCCAGGGCCTGCCCACCCGACACCCACTTTGGCCTTCACCTGCCCTACGTCTGCAGCAGCACCTCCGGCTCGGACAATGAGCAATAGAGAGTGTATCCCAGTTCATCTATTTCTTCAGGGGTGAGCTCTGCAAATAAGTTCACCTTGGGGTTCAGGGCGCTGGGCAGGACTCCGGCCTCTAAGTAGCTGATGAGTCCCCTCAAGGCCTGCAGAAATCGGTCGGCCAGCATATCTGGAGACCAGTCAGCCTCCTCCTGGGCCAAGTGGAGGATGACGTTGGTGAGCTGGCTGGCAGTGAGGTGGCCCAGAGCCGGAATGGACTTGCAGATGGCCTTGAGGATCTTGAGGCACAGAGACCGGCAGCCCGAGTCGGCCTGGTCCAAAGCCCGCAAGCGTGCGGTCTCGGCAGGACGCAGGCTCAGCCGCCACAAGTTGTCATACTGGGCTAGCCGGTGTGGTCTGGCCACCAAGACAGTGTCACCAAGGGTCACTGATGGCAGGAAGTCAATGACGAGACGCTTGTCACGCTCATACTGCACTTCCAGAGTCAGGGCCTCTGGGAGTGGTGCTGGTCGGATCACATAGTCCAGGAGGGACCCTATGGCCGGCCAATTGATGGAGCCAGCCACTACCTTCTCAAACGTGTCTGCCACTGTCTTTGGGGAGAGGTAGCCCCCTACTACACAACGGTCCCAGTAACTGCTACCACGAGGAAAGTACTCTGGGTTCTCACGACGAACCAGGAAGAAGCCAGGGACGTTCATGATGGTGTCCTCGCCAGGGACACACGACCACAGGTTCTGCTCCAGCACGAGGGGCACAATGAGTTGGATGTGGTCGGCTGTCACCACCTGTCAGAGCAGAATTAAAAAGGTTTTAAGGGATTTAATTTGCTCAACAGACAAGTTTCCCCAAACACAGGTCCCACCACCTTGTACTCCCCACAAAATAAAGGCAACTAAGACGTCTTTCATGTCACCCTATCAGTTCAGAAAATGTGAGGATTTAAACCCAGGTCTGTCGGACACCAGTCTGTGCTCAATCCATATGCCACATCGTCTCTGGACGCAGAAGAACACGTGACATCCCTCATGCCTTGAAGACTCAAGAGAGAAAACTAGCAAGGAGAGACAGGGACGAGAATAAAGGAAGGAAGCCTCTTCCAGCTTCCCAGAAGTTGTGAGTATGACTGGAAAACGCGAGAGGGTTACAGAAGGCTCAAGGCAGCGATCTGCAGAGGCTCCCACAATGCCGAATCCAGAAGCAGGAAGACTTATCTTTCCGGCAAGCCTGGGACACTGAGCTTCGCACCAAAAGCACTACCAAGAAGCATCTTGGTCAGTACCCGACCTTCCCCTTCGTGAGAACCACCCTGTTACCTGCAGGTCATCATAGAGGCTGCCACTCAGGTACATGTCCCGAAGTGGCATGTCAGGCAACTTGGCCCGCAGGAAGCTCCGGAGCTCAGCACATATGTCCACAGCAGCTTGCTTGGCCCGAGCCTGCTCGCCAGCAGGGATGGCTGCCCGGTTCCGGTAGTAAGTAAGAAGTTTCTCCTGCAGGGACATGCGGAGCCGTGACTTCTTCAAGTCTACCTGGCCCCTCCTGGCCAATGGCTTGGGCCGGGGTGGGCAGAATGTATCTGCCAAGGCAAGAGAGAGAGGCACGTGAGCTCTTCCCATGCTTGCTCAGTCCACAGCTGCCTCAGCACCAGAAAGAGGGCCTGGCACAAAAGGCAAATGCTAGCACAGTCCCCGGCACAAATGTGCACAAGAAATGTTTGCTGAACGCAGGAGAAGTACTGAGAGCCCAGAGCTAAGTCTCAGAAGGGGTAACAGCCTTCTCACCTGTGTCAAAGGCCGAGGAGTCTGTGGGAAGGGTCTGCAGGGACCGGCTCAGGCCTGTCTTCATGTCCTTGTTCAGCAACCGGGGGGAGCCCATCCAGTTTGGCTCTTCCCAGCTCCTTTTCCCTGAATGGCTCAGGCGGGTGGGGCTGGTAGGGGCACTGATCGCCCTGTCGTACATCTGAAATGGCAGAGAGGCCCCAGCACATGCACCTGCCTTCCTCTGCTTCCCTCTTCCCAGCAGCTTTGCCCTAGTGAGTTCAACTACTATTTTTTAATAACTTTGTTTTATTCTATATTATGGAATACTTTGCTCCATGCAGAAAATCTCAGGAAATACTAAATGATACAAATAAGAAACAATGTATCCATAATGTCACAACCCAGAGATAATTGTTAATATTTTGGTGTATTTCTTTCTGGAAATATATATTTATATAATTAGGATCCTACTCTCTACATACTTTTGAAACCTGATTTTTTTCGCATAATTTTTATCATTTCCCCACAATACTAAAAATAAATCAGTGTCAACATTATGGTACACTTTCTGACCATACAACATTGTACCTTATGAATGTACCACAATGTTGAACACTGATTCATTTCTTTAACAAATACTTATTGAGTGGCTCCTATGTGCTAGGCAATGTCCTAGGTGCCGAGAATAAGGCAGTAAACCAAAGAGACCCAATCCCTACCCTGCTGGAGTTGTCTGACTAGTAGGAGGATACAGGCAATACATCACAAACAAGTTAAACAGAAAGTATGCAGACAGAGAGAAATGTCAGGAAAAACACAGTAGGAAAGGGAACGAGGAAGTGTATGTGTGATGAGGGCACTGCTATTTCAAGTAAGGTAGCCAAGGAAGGATATTTTGGTTATTTGCAATTTTTTCCTCGCTGGGATAAACGTCTTTATTTCTATCTCCAATGACTTTTTTAGGGCAGGGTCCTAGAAGTGGACTTACTGAATTCTCTTAAGGCCTTGTCTACTAATACCACATTACCAAGTTTCACACCCATTAGCAGCATCAAAGTCTTCTTCCAGGTCAGCCCCCCTTTGCAGAGGCAGTGTCACCACCTTGCCCATCCCTGGCCCTGGCTGCAGGCACTTACCCGCTTAACCGCCAGTGTAGCGATGCCCAGCATGGCCGCGCCACCCACCCCCAGCACCAGCCGGGCGTTGGAGAGCACAAAATCAATGGCCGTGCCGATGCCATTGTCGTCTTTCTTGCCTTTGCGCTCACCAGAGCCTGCCATTGCTCACCTGAGGATGAAGGCAGAACACGGCCATCACCACCTGGGACCTCAAGATCCGTCCCTCCTGCCTCCCCAAACAGGCCAGTCCCCAACAAGTTCGGGGTACTCTGAGTTCTAGCAACCCAAATCCTCCTGCCTGTAGCACTGCATGGCCTCGAGTCCAGAGGGAGGTATTCTGTCCCATGATGTATCTGGATGCAAGAGGGAGGAACTGATCAAGCTAACTGTGGGGAAACCTCTCCACCAAACTATTAAGACTACAGAAAGCATTAAGCTGGCTGTCAGTCCTTCCTGCAATATAACCCCTCTTCCTACCCCTTCCCAGTATTATAATGCAGATCCTGTTTTGATCCTTCAGGTGTCATTTCGTGGAAGGTTAGCTCTGAGAAAGTCTGTGTAACAGAGTGGATTAAAGGAGGCTCATCTAATCCCATCGCATCACTTCACACATGAGGTGACTTGCCAGAGGCCCCAGAGAGGGAATGGCAGAGCCATCTCCAGAACTCGGGGCTCCCACTCCCAGTATGATGCTCTCTCTACTCTATCATGTCTTACCCTTGCCCAAATCCACCTGTGCCTATTCTGTCTCCTTTCTGCAAAACAACCAACCAACCAACCAACCACAAAATAACAGAGACCAAACACTGTACACACGGAGCCACAGCTACGAGTCCGTATGTGAGAAAGGTCCAGAGACAAAACTAACTCTCTGGGGACACTCCCACAAAACAAATTCTTTGTTTCTTGGGGAAAGTGTGCAGGAGGACAACAAGAAGCTCAGGTGAGGCTGGCACTGTGAGACTGAGAATAAACACAACAGCGGCTGTAGACTTGGCTGTTAAATGGAAAACAAAAAAATCCATGTGCTCAAATGCACTTGGAAAGTGAAATAAAAATGCGGTCACCTGGAAGGAGCTCAGGGGCACAATGCAGAAGAGGCTGGCCCCCCACACAGTGCTCCAGCAAGGCAGGCACACTTGCTCTCTGGCGACAATGGAGTCATCCTGACTGAAGTTCTCCTAGTCCCCAAATAAGCCCGTTTCCCAAGGAATTAGAAGCCTGGGCTTGACCCAGACAGAGGGTGGCAAAGCGCTCCCCCACACAGCGCTCCTAGCACTGCTGCTCTCCTCCACCCCCCCACTCCTGCACGCCAGGAAGACACAGGGAGAAACAGCTGTATACCATTCGGATCCCAAAAGACCCAGAGTGGGAGGAGAGACAGGGACAGGATCTCTGGGCGCATCTTCCAGTGCAAAGGAACATTCTTTCTCATACCATTACACCTGGGTGTTGCTAGTTTCGCATCTCATGCCCCCACCGAGAAAGAAAGAAAGATTTCAGACTCTACTTGTTCCAGCATTGAGTTAACTAAGAGTCACCGTCAAGTCCAAAAATATTTTTTCCCTAACTAGAGTCACAACCTTGGGACTTTTCTTTCTTTCACCTTTTACAGTCACTAGAAGCTTCAGGTTTAGGGACATAATGAGACTACTTGGCTACTGAAATATACTCCCACTTCAAACACACAGAGCAAGCAAGGCCAGCGGGAAGAGCTAAACTCAGTATTTACAGGTGGGGTCTGGCAAGCCTGCGAGGCACCCTCCCTTCAGTGGCCACTGAGACAGGGATGGGACACATCCAACTCAGCTGAGCAGACTAATCCAACCAGGACACAGTAGAATGTTACATGGTTCCCCACACATGACAAGGACCACTGTTTTAGTTTTTTAAAACAAAACAAAAGAACCTTTCCTGATGGATTTACAGTAGGAGAACCACTGATGCAGGCACCCTCTCCATGATCCTGGGATGTGCTGTGGCAGGACCAGAAGGGCACCTCCTCTCTCTGAGCAGAAGCCAGAGGGAGGCTCCCTGGGCCATTTAGTCCTTGGTGCACCTGGCGCCTGCTAAGAGCGAGGTGGTGACGTGGCAGAGCAGAAAGGAGCCGGGGCTTTAGAGTCGGCAATGCTGACACTGAGTACTTGCCTTTGAGCCCTGGCTTATTAGCTGGGTGACTCAAGCTCTCAGCTATGCAAAGGGGAGAATGATGCCTGCGTGGCCTAACTCGGAGGGTTCTAGTGAGGAAAAGACGGCTACTCAAACACTGGAAGAGAACACTTTGTAAACTGTAAAACGACTCCACAAATGTGGGCTATCATTAAGTCTTTTAAGATTCCACCCACAGGACAAAAGGTCAACTTCCAGAAGGCAGCCAGCAACCCAGACTGTCCTGAGTTACATTTCACCTTCTGAGATGGAGCTAAGAATGGCCTCTAACACTAACAGTGATGCTGTCCTGGGCTGGAGACCCAAACTATTCAGTTGAGCAGACTTGTGAACAGGCTTTCCTACTATAGTGCAGTATGCTCCCGCGCATAGGACCAGGTGTGTCAAAGACCTGGTGACCTGGAAGAGGAGAGAGCATCCACAAGCTCCAACAAGAAGATGCAAGTACTTCTTCTAAAACCTAACTTGTTCCAGTTGAAACTGCTTATCCACTGTCCATCCTCCACTCAGGTTCCGCTGCACTAGCTTAAAGCCTACTAGGCGACAGGAGCTCCACCTGGCAAGGAGAGAGCCACTGGGCTCCTCAGTGCGATCAAGGAGCCCTGGGTACACAGTTTCAATTTTGCAAGATGAAAAAGTTCTGGAGATCTGTTACACAACAATGCGAATATTCTTGATGCCCCTGAACTATACAGTTAAATATGGTTAATATATATCTATATTTTTTAAAGAAGAAGGAATAATGACCGGGTAGGCGGGGCTGGGGATGGAGAATCTGAGCTCTGCCAACATTTCAGTCAAGGTATTTCACTTGTCTCCCTAGATACGGAAATGGAGGTAGAAATACTCATCACCCCAATATAGTGTGGATGGTGAGCAATGGAGGCCCTGTAGCTTCCTAGGATGACAGCACAGAGCTAGGAAAATTCCAACTTATTTCACTTGAAAAAGTAGTATGACTTAAACATTCTGGCTCGAGTACACATGAGGCTAGCTGACAGACAGTGAGCATGTACCATGTGCTGGGAATCTTACATATATTAATTCCCTTGATCCCCACAATAAGAATCCCATGAGGTCAGTCATACTATTATTTCTAATTTACAGATAAAGAAACTGAGGCAGAGGTTAAGTAAGTGGCCCAAGGTCACCATGTAAGTTGTGCAGCCAAGATTTGAACCTAGAGCCCATGCTGCTGGGGAGCAGTTTAAAGGGATCCCAAGTAGCCTGCGACCCCACCTTGTTCACATCTGCTCTCTATTAACCACTGGACCATACGCTTCTTGGGGGCGTTTGGGCTCATTCACTGCTGTGTCCTCAGGGCCAGCAGTGTTTGATACACAATTACACAATACCTATTTGTTGTAGGAATGAGCTATTAACCCTATGGCTTTTTTTTTTATTGCAGTAACAGTGGTTTATAACTTTTTTTTTGAGGAGGCGGTGGTGGCAACCTGTAACCTAACCCACAGTCAAATGGATTAGGACACAGAGGCTCAGTGACTCGCTACTTCACTCCCAGCCCGGCTACCCTTCCCTGTGCAGGTAGGCTCCCAGAGCATCCACCCAGCCCTGGTCCTGCACTGCCCAGCAGGGGCTACCAATCAACCCAAGGGCTGCGAGAACCAAAAGCCATTACATAAGGCTCCTCCTCCTGCCTTCACTCCCTCAGCAACCCCCACCCAGCTGGCAGGCCTTGCACCTCACAGTTATCCTCCATTCTGCTTTCTCCTCCTCCTGCCTCAGCCAACTGGTCACCAAGTCACTGTTGCACACGCTGTATTTACGTGTGGCCACCGCACCGCGTCAGTCCCTCCATCTCCTGTGGCCAGATTCACTACCGCTAGCATCTCACTACTTTATTCTCCATGCCACGATCTCCCGTCCACATCATGCCCCTGCTTACAAAGCTGTGACAGTCCCCTACTGTGCAATATCACAATCTCCTCAACAGAGGACTTAATGTCCTTCCAGACCCGGCCCAGCCTCAACTGCGGCCACCTGCCTTACAGGTACGACATTCTAGCCATGCCAGACTCAAGTTTCCAGACTACAAAATGCAGTTTCCACCTCCACATTTGCTTATTCTTACCCACCTGCCCAGCAAGCTTCTACTTCTCATTTGAGGCAGACCTCAAATGTCTTTTCTACAGCCACCTGCGATCCCTGCCACCACCCTACCCAAGGCAGAGCTATGTCCTCAGCCCTGTCTCCAAGCTCTCTACACGACCCTCTAGTGCCGAGCTGCTCACACTGGAATTGCTGTCCAGGGATCTCTGCATCAGACCGAGTCCCGTGATGGCCCATGTCATTCACCTCTATCGCAGAGCCTACAAGAATGCCAGGGCCATAGAAGGCCCTCAGGGAAAGCTGCGGAATTAAATATAGTCACTAGGCTACAGGGGGACTTCTTGATAATGCTGGTATCAGGAGTAAATAGAGCTAATATGCCACTTGCCAAGTACCATTCCAAGAGCTCATTTAATTCTCATAAGAACCTGAAGAGGCAGATGTTATCATCTCCATTTTACAAATGAGGAAATAGAGGCCTGGAAAGGGTTAGTGATTTGCCCCAAATCCCATCGCTACTAGTAGCAGGGCCAGGAGTTGAACCCGGGGGCCATCCTCTGAAGCCTGGACACACTCTATAGACTGAGGTAACAGAATGCAGTTATGTTTTGGGGAATGTGATCTGACCCACAGATAACTGAATCCACTGAATGAGCCAGCTTGGAATTGAGCGCTAATAGGTTTAACCAATGTCTTTTCTAACATTTTCATACGTAAAACGTTCTATGAAATAAAATGGTGATAAGAATTCTGTTCTGGTGGGATTTGAAACTCAGGGCCTATTTTTTTTCAATAAGGGAACATACTCTCTTAATATGCCTGTATTCCCTCCATTGATTTCCAGTGACTAAAGGACTTTGGTCACTAAAAGGAAAGGGTCTCCCTCCCCTGGTCCCCTGCATCAGAAAAAATGAAACCTATGGGAAAAGGGTGGACCTACCTGAGGCTTCTCACTGCATCTGTGAGGGGTGGGGAGAGAGCAGGAGTGTCTACGGAAGGCACCTTTGTCCTCTTTCCCTCGGAATCAGGAAGGGAGGGGAAAGGAGAGGGTCCTAAATAATCCCCCCGAGTTTGCTGTGGAGGAAGACCAGGCCTTTTTCCAGCTGCCTCTCCCGGGCCTCAGGATCCTCTAGCTTCTGATTTTTCCTGAACTCACGGCGGATGGAGGCCAGGTAGAAGTCTCGGTCAGTGTAGCGAAGCTCTCGGCCCTGGCGCAGCAGAGCCCGGTAGAGGCTCAGCACTGCCTCGCGGCTCCATGGGGCCATGGGGGACTGGCAGGGGCTGGGCGTCACGCTATAAACAGAAGGGGAAAAAAGAGAAGGCTAGAATCAGAATTAAATGTGAGAAGGGCCTAGAGAGACTCTCTAAAGTTCAGGTTCTTAATCTAGGTCTCAGGGACCCCCAAGGTCACACTCTGACTTAGTGGCACGGCTAGGATAGACCCCAGCCCCTTGCTTCCCTCTCCTGAGCAAGTACAGGAGATGCTGAAGGGCTAGGGCTTGAATCCTGGCTCTGCCAATTAACTTGCCAGATCCTGGGCAAACTGCTTCACCCCTCTGAGCATCAGCTTCCTCCTGTGTAAAATGGAGATGACGATACTATGTCAGCAGGACCCACCACACAGGGTTATTTTGAGGACTGGGCGAGAGGACACATGTAAAGCACCTGTAAGAGAACTTCACCACAAGGGATGGACTTTCAGCCATACCTGAATCCTGGCACCACCACTGATGAGCTGATTTCCTCGGGCAAGTTTCTTAACCTCTCTGTGCTTCCCTCAGTTCCTCATCAGTAAAATGAGGATTAAAACTGTATTCTGCCCATATGGTTGGTACGAGGACTAAATGAGTTAATACATGCAAACAGGTCTAGATCAGCGCTAGGCACAAACTAAACACTCTACCAAGCGCAGCCATTACCAGTAGCACCCAGCTTGGTTTGCAAGTGCTTAATAAATGTTGGACTTAGTTATACATAAACTGCCACCACCTTCCTTCAGTAACAATAAACCCTCCCTCAAGTACAGAGGGTTATCACTTGGAAAGTGCTGTGTCACCCATTTTCACATTTAAATTAAGGAACCTAGGAGGTGGTCGGGGCTCAGAAGAGAAACAGCAGAACACCTACTGTATGCACCCCACCATGCACGTTCCGGGCGCGGCCACGGAACAACTCATCTCATTCTATCTCATTCTATCAACAATCCCAGTGTCGTCGTTATCCCCATTTTAAGTGGAGGAAACCGAAGCTCCCAGAGGGCAGCACCGGCCCACAGCACACAGCTGTCACGGGGCTGCGGCCTGTGAGGACAGTCACCGTTCGCTGGGGCCTTCCCGCGTGTACAGCACTCCTGGGCGCCCTACAAACTTTCCCAGCCCAGCGCCCGGCACACCACGGGCTCAAGAAATAAGCAGAATGAAGAGGGAATCCTCACGACGCCCCCAAGTGGAGGGAGTGACCCCCCTGTTTCAGAAATAAAGAGCAGAGACCGAGTGCGGGAAGTACGTGACCGGGAGACAGAGCGGGACTCTGGGGGCAAAGTCAGCGAGCCATGGCCTCCGGCCCTGCCAACTTCCTGCGCCAGCCTGAGCCGCTGTCCCTGTCCCCTTCTCCTCAACCGCAGGAGGGCCCCCCTCGGCCCAAGGGCCTCCCGCGGCGGGAGACAAGAGCCCAGAACACCAACAGGACAAGTGCTTTCGGAGGAGGGAGGCCACCGCCGTGCGACGGCTGTTACGACAAGGTCGCCCGGCGAGCGGGCGGCTGAGCCCGGCCGGTCCCCACCTCCTCCCCAACCGGGGGGCTAGGCCGAGCCGGGGGCGGGCGGGCGGTGACCCCGGGGCTGGGGCACGCCGGCTCGGGACCCGGGAGGCCTCCGGAGGCTGGGGCCCGGGTCGGATCGGGGGCAAGGGACGCGGCCCTGACAGGAGGCTCGGCGGGCCCCCGGCCCCGGCCCCGGCCCCGCTCCTCCCCTCACTCACCCGCGGGCCGCGCGCGCTACCACTCCTCGAGATTCGCCTCTCGCCCGGTACCTCTCCCGGGGTCACCCAGCAACATGGCCCCTTCACTTCCGGGACACGACCTGCCCACGGGGCCGAGGGGCGGGGCGGAAAGGAGCACGAAGGCGGGAGGAGGCGGGAGGACTTCCGGTCTTCCCCGCCGCGGCCCCTCTCGGGGCGGAGCCAGGAGCCTCGTTGGGCCCCGCCCCTCATGCGGGCCCCGCCCCACCAACCTGAGCCCCGCCTTCGTGGTGACGTCACTGAGGACCGGGCCGGCTGAGGCCATTCGGGCCCCGCCCACCGGCGAGCGGCGGTGCGGAGGGCGAGCGGGCTGGGGGCCGGAGCCGGCAGCGGGTCGGAGCGGGCAGGGGGCCGGAGCGGGCAGGGGGCCGGAGCGGGCTGGGCGCGGCGCCGCCCTCCTACGAGGCCGCTGCGTCGGGTCGGCGCCAGCCTGCTGTCAGCGCGCGGCGTGTCAGGGATGGAGCCGCATCCCCGCACCGTCTGCTGATCTCGGGCTGGGCGGGGCCCTCCCTGGGGGGGTTCCAACACTAATAATATTCCCTGCCATGGCTTTCAGAGCTCTTCCAAGTCCATTTTCTCAGATCGACTTTTCATGCCTCCGTGCTGAGCCCGCTGCCGGGCGCCTTGGCTCCCAGCAAACTCCTACCCTTCAGGGTCCACTTGAAATTGTTAGCAACTTCACCTCGCTGCCCTGGGGCTCCGACCCACACTCCGAGGAGCTCCGAGGAGGGGCCCCCGAGGGCCCCGTACACACAATCCGTCCCTTCCGCCAAGGGCTCTTTCCCGTTCGGTATCGAGGATTTGGAAGGAAACCGAAGCTGGGTGTTCACCGGCGCGAGCTTTATTCAATTGCCAAGAAGGGAGAAGCGGGAGCCAAGTCCACGAATGCGCTCCTCAGTTCTGATTAAGCAGCTGCTATGGGTTCAGGGTAATGAAGGGGAGGAATATTCACGCTTGCTTAGGGAGCTGGGCGGGCTTTTCGGGGACTAGGGCGCCGCCTCTCTCCTTGCGGGGTGTGGTGAACTGCCTGGCGGTGGGCGTGTCCCGGGCTATGGAAACCTATTACAAAGAGCGTGCAACGAGCTGCGGTCTCGTCAGGTCGTCAGCCTGCAGGTTGCCTTCAACTGGGTTTAACTGGTTTCGACTCTGTTTCAGCCATCTCCTCCTTCCTCTCTTCCTGGTTTACTGTGAGCCATAGACGACAGTTAGGCTAGTTCTGAGCAGGGTTGTGGCTAATGTCTTATGGGGTTGGTGGACCGGGTAACCAAATGTCCCCTCCGCAAATCTTTTCCAGCCCCTTCCTCGCCCCTGGCCCAACAAACTTGGATGCCTTCTTCGGGCCCCACAGAAACGTCCGCACACACCGTAAGGGCTCTTGACCGGTTCGACAACAAAACGTATTTATTGGTGCCTTTTTGCCAGGCCCGTTTTTAAATGTATCCATTTGCGTCTCTGTCTCACCAGATTTGAGGGCAAGAGCCGTGTTTGACGGAATCTGCAAGCCCCCTCCCCCGGTGCCTCCCACGCGCCCAGCTCAGAGGGAAGCCAGGAAGGTTAGTCCCTCCGGAAGCGAGCCCGCAGGCTTTGGAGTCAGGCCGAGCTGGCTCGCAGTTCTGCTCCACCACAGAAGGACAGCTGCTCTCTGGCAGGATCCTAACCTCCCTCAGCCTGGGGCTCTTGCGAGGATTAGAAGGTGTCTAGCAGGAGAGGCCCGCCCTTACGAAGTAGTTGTCCATCCATTCATTCATTCACTCATTCATGCAACAAATCCTGGCCGAGGGTCTTGAATGTGCCAAGCACACCACAGGCATTGCAAGAACAGAGAGACCAAGTCCTGTCTTCTAGTGGGGCTGATAGAGGAGGTGATAAGAGCTGGGAGGAAGATGCTGGGTGACAGGATGGAGTGAAGGGGGTTACTTTTTTACGTGGAGTGGTGTCTGATAAGGGGATGTGGCGTGGAACCTGTGGGAAGAGCGTTCCAGGCGTTGGTCCTCCGGTGGCCCTTCGGCTGGGAGTGTTCCAGGAGCAGCAGGGAAGAGGCCGGTGAGCAGGAGCTGGGGACGAGGCAGGAGACAAGGTCCTTATCGGGGGAAGGGGATGGGAGACCTTGTGTGGCACAGCAGCCGCTGAAGGGTTTGGAGCAAAGAAGTGATGGGACCTGACTTCCATTTGTTTGTTTCTTTCTTAATGGTGAACCCAATTTTGTTGGCACCATCCAAAGCATCATAGTTAGAAGCCAGTCAAACAGATGCCTCCTTCTCTCATCAGACCCCATCAGGGTGTTGGTCTTGGCCACGAGACGTCCTAGAGCGTCTTCCCAGCCTGTCTGGTCTGGTGTGGATGGCCTTGACATCCACAATGAACGCGAGTGTGTTGCTGTCCTCTGTCTCCTTCGTGGCGGACTTGGTGGACGGGGAACTCGATGATGGCAGAGTGGTCAAGCTTGTTTCTCCTGGGGGCACTCTTCCAAGGAGGTTTGGGCCGCCTTCAGAGCCACAGTATCTTGGTCCTCGGGAAGGTGGGTGACGTGTAGATCTTTTTTGTGTGTGGCCGTGGACGCCTTTCAGCGCCACCTTCTTGGCCTTCAAAGTCTTTGCTTTGGCTTCAGCTTTGGGAGGGACAGCGGCTTCCTTCGCCGCTTTTGGCGCCATCTTTGTGAAATGACTTCCGTTTTCACAGGACCAGTCTGGCTTGAGCATAACTGAAGGGAACAAGGGCTAAAGCAGGGCGAGTAGTCAAGAGGCCGTTGCAAAACCCCAGGGGGGAGAGAGATGAGGGCTCAGACCCAGGAGGCGGCAGTGAGCGGGGCCGGGGAGTCAGATCCTGGAAGTGCTGGGAGGACGGCCACAGGATTAGCTGATGTGGGGGTGAGAGGGAGGGTCAGCCACAGCTTCGGCTTCGGGCCTCTGCCCCAGCAATTGTCCTGCTGCCTCCCTGCTCCAGCCTGGTTAGGCGCGTGTTCCAGGTTTTCCAAGCTGCTAAAAGAAGGCAGCTTTCCAGGGCCCTAAGGTCTCTGCTCAGTTAACGGAAGACTTCCCCTTGGCATAGGGAGGAGCCCCAGCAGCACTGGGGAGCCAGTGGGCCTCTGAAGGGGGGGGGGGCCCCGGCTGGGGGCCTGGAGGAGGGAGGCTAAAGACTCAAGAGCAGCACTAGGTGTGGAGTCTGGGATCTTAGGACCATTCGCCGGGCCTGGCTTGGCGCCAGGGAAACAAGGAGGAAGTTCGTCAGCTCTCTCCCTCTCACACTCATACTGAGGCAGCACCAGCACCTAGAGCTGCCTTTATTAAGCACCTATTGTGTGCCCAACATTGGACTGAGTACTTTGCAAACATCATGTTATGTCTAATCCCAATGCCCCTGTGTGATAGGCTTCATGATCCCGATTTTGCAGATGAGAAAACCAAGACCAAGAGACATTGGCTAATTTCTCCAAGACGCTGAGCCAGACGGCGGAGTAGCTCGCCCACGTGTCTTCCTCTGGAATGTGTGTTCTTTCCTCTCTTCCAGGCTGCCCTACTTTGCTCTTTAAAGAGTAATTTTGTGACCCAAATAAATCTAATTGGTGACATTTCCAGCTGGAAGACGAGGTGACCTTTCCTATCCCTGCTGACCCTGCTGTTCCCTAGGATGTTATTTTTGGGAGGAAGGAAGGACTCTGCCTGGCTTGACGGGACAAGGGGCCCTCTGGGATCTCTCTGATTGATACTGCAGTTTTGAATAACTGCTGGTCTTACCTCTGAATGATGGCAACGCCTCTTCTGGGACCATGGCTGGAGAGCGAGAGGGAAGCGCTTGTTCCCCAGAACAGTGACTCACACATAGCTAGGCATTTAATTGTGGAATGAATGAATGAATGAATGAACACTTTCCAGAAACATGGAAGGCCTGGGAGAGATGGACAATTTCCTCTGAGTCAGGCAGGTCACGTCCAGTCTTATTTGAAAGGGGCATGTAGGGGGGTGGGAAGCACTTGGCAAGCGACTTAAGCCTTGCATGCCTTGGTTTCCTCATCCGTGAACCGAAGAAGGAGAGGAAAGAACTACCTCATTGGGCTGTTGAGGGTCAAATGGGAGGGGGCATGTAAGGGGCTACTGGCGTTGTCAGGGAGCCTGCCACACGGCGAGCACACAGTAAGCCGTGACTTGTATTATTATGAGATGTCGTTCTCTCTCGTGCATGGGTGGGTACGTGGGAATGTTAGCTCACAAACAGACTTTGGAAGCCCAGGACACCAGTTCCAGGGCAGGAGCTCAGGGGAGTCTCAGGCTGTGGCCCCCTAGCCCTGGAAAACTCAGTGGTCAAGGGTCTGGGCCCCAGAGGGCTAAGGCAGGATGCTGGGGCAAAAAGGAACAAAACATTTTTGCTGAATGGCCCATGAGAACCAGCACTGTTGTTCCCAATGTATTAGCCAAGTTAGTTACTTGCTCACCATTTAGTGAGCATCTAGTATGTGCCAGGACTAGAGGCGGGAATGCAGAAATAAGACACGTCCTAGAAAGGCCAGGGTCGAGGGAGGAGACAGACAAGGACACAGACAGGTACAAGGAGAGAAGCCTTCACAGGTGCTGTGGGGACCAGAAGAGCCTGTGACCCAGTGCAGAAGCAGGGGGTGGGCACCACCCAGCCGGAGCACGGGTGGGGAGGCGAGGGGGTGAGACACGAGGCTGGACAGGTGAGCATCCTGCGGATGCCCAGGGAGGAAGTGATGGCCTGCAATGTGTACTTTGGGCTGCTGCACCAGCACCAGTAGTCTGGAGTCAGTCGTGGGTTTGAATTTCAGCTCTGCCTCCTGATGGCTGGGCAACCTTCAACAAGGTTCTCAGCCTCTCTGGGCCATAGTTTCTATACTCACAAATGGGGATTAATTAAAGTACCTAAGCAATCAGACCCTGAAACTGACTCATGGGAACTAAGAGGGAGGGAGAGAGAAGCAGGTCAAGTGGATTTCCGCCAGGAGAATTAGAAATATGGCCGAGGCCTTAGGGAGTTCAGCAGGTGATGGAACAGGAGCAGGAGTGGTCCAGGCAGAGGAGGGGGCCGTGGCCCACTGGAGAGCTCAAAGGACCAGAGCCAGAGAATTCAGGAAAGAGAGACCCCAGACAAGACTGGAGAGGAAGGCAGGCCCAGCGGGCCGCAGCGGGAAATTTGGCCCTGAGCCAGCAGCAGTGGGCAGTCCGTGCCCTGATCAGACTAGCACCTTGGAAAGAGCAGCCTGTCCACTTTCCGGGGACTAGACTGGTGGGCTGAGACCCACAGGAGATCAGTCCCCAGGCCACCACAGTATCCAAGAGGGTCATCAGGGGACAGGAGGAGTGAGCGCTGACTGAGCTCTTCCCGCGTGCCAGCACCTGGACGCATCATCTCCAGTACTCCTCACGGCCTGGAGAGGACAAGGACCGTCACCGTGCCAGTTACACCCAAGGAGCTGGGGTCTGGAAGAGCCACAAGCAGCAGGACCGGGATCTGAACTCAGGTCTGGAGCTCTGAACCATCCATGGGAGAGATGAAGTCACTCGAACGAGGGTGGAGGAAGAGGACAGGAGGGGGCCCTGGGGACACTGACATCTAAGGCCTAGGAAGCAAAGGACACTGGAGAGGACTGGTCAGAAGACAGGGGTGTCTCGGAGGCTTGGGGAGAGGAGAGCATGGTCACAAAGGCCAATGCCTTCCTTCCCCAGTTAGGAGCTGGTCTCTGGCTGACTGGTTCAGGGAGGTGGGACAGTGGCCAGGGGCTGAAGAGTAAACAGGAGATGGAAAGGGACCCAGTGGTTTTGCTGGGAAGGGAAAGGGCAGGAGAGGACAGTTGGGAGGGAGACGGGATTGGGCTGGGTTAGGGGTTGGCTCGCACTTGTTCTCCCTCGAAGGTGGAGGGAAGGACCCAGTAGAGGGAGAGAAGTGAAAAGGCCAGAGGAAGGGAGCCCTCAATGGAGAGATGTCACTACTGAGAGGAGGGGAAGGAGGAAGCAGGCAGGTGCCCCTTTACCTGCGGGGCGGGGCAGGGCGGCGGCACAGAAGGCAGAGAGGGCACGGACCTTGAGGCGGGGGTCTTACTAGTCTTATCCCCTCTACTTTACCCAGCAGGGTGCCTTATGAAATTGGAGCCCTCCATAAATGCTTGTCACCCCAGTTGAAGGGAAATTGCTCCGGGATGACGAGGCAGAATGCTCTGTCCAGCCCAGCCCAGCCCCTCCTGCCCCACCTCCCCACTGGAGTGAAGGTGTAACACTCCTAGTACCCGGGCTGGTGGAGGGTCAGCGAAGCTCCGGGGTGTGAGCGGCCAGGAGCCAGGAAATCGCTCCCAGAGAGAGCCGCCCCGCCTAATGGGGTTTGCTGCCATCAGATGTGTGGATCCTGTGCTCCCCAGAGTGAAACCTGATATCCCTGGGCAGGAGTGAGGGTCCCATCACCTGTGAAATGTTTGCCGCCCACATCGTGCCAGGTGGTGTGGAAAGGGCGAAGGGCGCGCGAGCTCATTCACTGAACACCCTCCCTTTGCCAGGCAGCTGGAGTTGGGGGGCTGGGGGCTGGCAGATGCAGGGCCTCGACCCCAAATCCCAGCTCCTCCACTTCCCAGCTGACTTAGGAGAAGGGTGGGAAGACTGAGTAGGTGCCCGGGCCAGGGCAGTGGCTCAGTGAACATTCGCTGGTCTCCATTCACGTCCTTTGTCGCTGTTGATCCCCACTACAGTCCTGTGCAGGCTGGTATCAGTGTGCCCATTTTACAGACGAGGCAGCACCACACAGGCTGATTATAGCTTCCACCTCCTCGAGGGCAAACTGGAGGCCCACAGGTTAGACTGGACCAGGAAGTGTTCTCCTTGCTCCACAAAGAGCTTTGTAAGACCCAGACAATTCTAAAGGACAGCTTCCCAGGCTTGCTTCAATATTTAGAAGATCTGGCAGCACTCGGCTCCCCACGGACAGAGGAGCAGCCACCACCTTTGGACAGAGTCCAAGCTCCCCAGCTCACCCCAATCCCCACCACTCCCTATTGTCTCATCCATGAGTGTCCACTCACTTACATTATCTGTTGGGCTCCTGTCATCTGCTGAGTCTGCCAAGGCCTGGTGAGTGTTTCTCATCCTACATGGGGAGGAAATGGAGCCAGAGAGAAAGTTGACATATGTTCCCAGCTCCAGTCACAAAGCACTGAACCTTGACATATAGAAAGAGAAGCCAAAATATGGAAAGAGAGCGAGCATAGCTGCGCTCGAGTCCACGGTAAATGCCTCCACAGCCCAGGAAGCAACTGAAGCAGGAGCCCTTGGTGCCCTGGGGCTGGACGCCTGGGGGGTCCTGGGCCCTGGAGGACCCCACACCCACTGGCTGGCAGTCCCAGAAGAGAGCAGAGGGTGGCGGAGCAGCTGGAGATGAAGAGCCGAGAGCTGAGAATATTCCAGTCAATGAGGAAGCCTTCCAGGAGGAGGTGGGTGTGGTGGGCTTAGGGTGGCCGGGCTTAGGGTGGGGGCGAAAGGAACGGCAGCTGTCCCACTGTCGGAGACCTTAGAGTGTATCCAGCTTCCAGCTCAACCCCCAAGGCAGACCCCAACCCACACACACACACTCACTCAACTGTACAGCCACCCAGAGAGAGAAAAGACTGGCTAGATTGTACCTTCCAAAATTTTAAGGGCTGGCTCAGTGGCGCAGGGGTTAAGTTTGCACGTTCCACTTTGACTGCCCAGGGTTCGCCGGTTCAGATCCCAGGTGTGGACCTACGTACTGCTTATCGAGCCATGCTGTGGCAGGCGTCCCACATACAAAGTAGAGGAAGATGGGCATGGATGTTAGCTCAGGGCCAGTCTTCCTCAGCAAAAAGAGGAGGATTGGCAGCAGTTAGCTCAGGGCTAATTTTCCTCAAAAAAAAAAAAAATAATAATTAATTAATGTAAAAATTTTATATCTTTGGTGTATTCAACAGGCATTCACTTTGGTGTAAGGAGTGAGGGAGGGACTGTAATTGGTCTTTTTTCTAAATGGCTGTCCGATATTTATGAAACGGTCCTTCTCCCCGCCCAGGCCATAAGATGCCCCCTTTGCCGTGTGAATTCCTCTGTGTATTTGAGGACCCCATCTTCAGGTTTTCAGAGTGTAGTGAGTGCGTCAGATTGGCTGACTCCTGGGTCAGTGTGGCCCCCCCAGGTCACAGCTCTGAGAGGGCCTCTTTGAGTGCACGGCCAGGTGCCCTCAGGCCAGCGCAGGTGGGCTTTGTCCTCAGGATCCGCGGGAACCAGGCCCGGGAGGCTGATCTTTCGGGGCTTTTCTCTGCGCCTGCTCCATTCACCCCCTTTCCAACCAGCTTCCTCCGACGGCCCAGCTCACCTCTTCAGACCAGGCCGTGTCCTGGGCAGTGCTGCCCAGCCTGCAGGGGGATCAGCTGCCTTTGAGACAAGTGTCTACTCCACTCTAAGGGGATGGGACAAGACTCCCTGGAGCTACATCGGGAACTTGGACTTGGCCCTGTAGGTGATGGGGAGCCATAGACTATTTTAAGTCGGGAGGGGGTGGTGACAGGATCAGATCTACATAGAGGCAGGGCTGCTGAGTGTGGTTGTTCATGTTACACACTGCACAAGGACACCACATCCAAGGGACACCTTTCACGTCATAGACCTTGTGGAGTTGTGTGTTTCTTAAGACATTTCTTTGGCAGAAAGCAGTGGATTGTCTCGTTCTAATGATATCAGCACATTATGACAATTTTCCCATAGATGGAAATAACATATCTTGAGGGAGTGATGCCCTTCCCAATTGGCATGGAAGCCTGCCTGGGCTGGCAGTGGCCCTGCCTGGAGAATGGATTGGTTGGGGGAGACTGGCAGAGGGAGAAGAAAGAGCGAGGGATGAGTTCCGCATTTCCAGGTCAGGGTCTGGGGTGTACACAACACCAGAATTAAGACAAGCTGTGTTCCAGAGGATGGACAGAGCTGGGGAAGACCTGAGGGTGGTGTAGATGGTGAGTTGTGATGCTTGTTCTTGGTCCTTTGAGTCTGAGAACTTGACCCATGATGCCCCCGTGCTGGCAGAGCAGCCTTTCCTTCCGGGTTGTCTTGGCAATCCCGCAGGCCCAGCGCAGCCCGGAGAACGGGAGGCACCCTCTCCGGATCCGGCTCGCAATGGGAAAGCCGTTCTCATGACCTTCTCTCATCAGATGGCCGGAGGAGGAGCGGCTACACCGCAGGAGGCAGGCCGGAGCCCCTCCTGTCGGATCAGCGAGGCCAACCCGGGACCTGCCCCTGGAGTGTGCTCAGTAACTGCTAAGGGTGCTGACAATGTTGCCCTGCAGGGCCGCCCACTGATGCCCAGGGCAATTCAGCGAGGGTTCAGTGAGGCCGCGGTGGGGCAGGGGGCCGGGGACACACAGGTGAGGACGCCGTGCCCAGCCCCGCCATGGAGACAAGACAGGTGCTCCGGAGGGGTCTCCATTACTGTTCATCCTCAAAGCTCTGCCACCTCCTGTGCAAGTTCCGGAACCTTCTGCTCCTCATCAGTAAAAGGGGAGAGGAGGAAGTACTGCCTTCCTCCGCACGCCCCCAACACTCGACATTGCCCTGGCCCCGCCTTCATCGTTATTTCCCAGGCTTGGTTTTCTTTATCTTTAAAATTTTCCATGACTCTAATTTTGATGTTTGCTGTTCCGTTTTGTGGCACGCATTTGCGTAAGTGTCCTCAAATCCCATGTGGCGTCCAGTGAAAAGAGAGAGGAAGGAAAGGAGCCAGGGAAGCTGGGCTGCCGGTGACGGACATGCCCCGCTCGCCCACTAGGAGGCAGCGCAGCACCGTGGGAAGGCGGCGGCCACCCTGCCCCTGCAACCCGTCAGGGAGCTGTGTGCCTCAAGCAATTTATACCCTCAAGGTCCCTGAATCCCAGGCTCCCCACCTCCGATCTCGCAGGCTGTGAAGTGGGAGGAACCTCCCAGATACCATTCAGATTACGTGAACTAATGTATGCAAAGTGGCTGGCACGTATACAGTAGATGCTTAATAGTTGCATACTCCTACTCCATAGTCGTTAACCTGGGTGATTTTGCACCCCAGGGGGACATGTAACCATGTCTGGAGACGCCTTTGGTGGTCACTCTCGGGGGAGTGGGTTCTACTGGCATCTAACTGTAGAAGCCAGGGACGCTGCTGACACCCTACACGGCACAGGACAGCCCCCAACAAGGAAATGTCCGGCCCAGAATGTCAGTAGTGCTGGGGTCGAGAAACCTGGCCTGCTCCCAATCAATTTTGAGCTGCTAGAGGACGGAAAATGTGTCTCGTCCATCTCTGCATCTTCCTCAGGGCCCGACACGCCGTGGACAGTCAGGGATTGCGTGCGGGATTGAGTTGAAGGGCGAGCAGCGGCACGGATGTGGTGCATGGGACCGGTGGGTGTCGGACCAGAAGGACTAATTGTCCTGGAGCGGGGTCGCCTGCCTCGCTGCATTAGCAGTGGGGCTTCCTGAGAGCTGAACGAGATTTGCAAAAGCAAGCCTGCCTCGGGAGCATCCTAGTCAGATTGCCTTAAATGCTAAAGATCAAGGGGGCTCTTTAAAAGCCTTAGAGAATTGAGCGCCCCACTTCAGAGCCTTCTGCCCCAGGAAGAGGTCACATGACCCAGAACGGCTGAATCAGGGCATCCTCCGCCTCCTACAAACCTCCAGAATGTGTATCTTCTTCCTCCTGCCCCCAACCTGCGCCCCAGGCCTCGGCCCGTGTTGTAGACCCAAATGGTGAGAAGTCTAGAAGTCCCATTCCTGGAAGGACCACGGGCCGACTGGCAGAGCAGATCGGGGAATGGAGACGATTGTTATTTTCGACGACTCGATGGACAGTCATGCAGATGAGGGCCTGGCCTGGTCCCGCGTGACCCTCTAGACGGCAGAGCGCCCTCACGGGGCCTGGATGGTCATCCAGGTCTTTGGCCCGGCGGGACAGGCCAGAGGTTCTGATTAAGTCATGGAGGCTGATCCGGCATGAAATTCGACAGAAGTGGCGAGTCTGGGCCCGGCTGGGCCGATTGCGGAGGGCAGCCAATCGAGTGGGCAAGGCCCTCGGAGGAGGAAGCTTGGCCATTGTATTACCCCCGCCCTCAGGTGGGCAGGCAGATGTATGCGATGGAACCCCAGCCCTCGGGCTGGCAGAGTGGGGCGTTCAAGGAGCAGGGTGTCAGGGAATCGGGGGTACTGGACGGCACTGGAGATGTTCCTGGGTTCAAATCCCAGTGCCCCCACTTAATAGTGGGATTCATCTGCTCAGTCAGTCATTCCCCCAAAGAGCTACTGAGCTGTACCCGGAAATGTTTATGAGATAGAAACCCAAAAGCGGACAATTCTAAGACCCTGTGGAAAGGGTGAGGCTGGAGTGGTTCGGACATAACCCGGGTGTGGGGAGGCAAGGGCAGGGTGTGGAGGACCTGACACCTGAGTGGGGCCTGGGAGAGTAAGCAAGTTAGGTGCAAAAGGGCAGCGGAAGGTTCTGGGCTGAGAGGATAGTATGTCCAGACTCACAGAGGAAAGTTTTCATCAGATGAGTTAGAACACTTTTGGTTTTAAGTAGCAGAAAACCCAGCTCGAAGTGGGTTTAACAAAAGAGAATTTATGGGCTCATGTCATTGAGGAGTCCTAACAGTGTGGGCTTCAGGTGAGGCTCCATCCAGCAGCCAATGTCATAAGCTGTGTGCTCCACACACCTCCCCCCCACACCCCTGTTTTTATTCTGGTGGTGAGGGGTTCTTTTTCATCATTCTTGAAGAAAAGAGAAGAAGTTCTTTTCTAAGAGCTTCCAGCAATTTCTTCTTTATCACTAGCCTGAATTGGGCCACTTGTCCATCCCTGAAGCAATTGCCCTGACCAGGCAGTGACATATTGACTAGCTTAGCTGTTCGGGGTGACCTGGGGAGTTGGGTGTGTACGTGTGCACATGTGTGCATGTGCGTGTGTGTCAATCCCACCAAAATGCAAGATTAAGAAATTCTGGGAGGAAGAGATGCTGGGAAGGGCAACAGCAAATGCCCACTGCAGCTAACACTTAGTGAGTGCCTGCTGTGTGCGCAGCTCTGCGCTAGCTGCTTTACATGCGCCATTTAATAGCCACGACAACCAGCGCTCTGATGGGTCACATGATGAGCAAGTGGGAATCTGGGACTTGGACCCTGGGTGGTTGTATCATAAGACAGTCCCTGGCACACAGCAGGCGCTCAATAAATGGTAGTTACTATTGGGGAGAATTCGAGCATGACTCCTAGATTTCCAGTGTTTGGGACAGGGCAGGTGAGGTGTCATCAGTGGGATGGAGAGTGCAGAACAGGGAGAACAGCCCTGAGGGGAGCGCAGTTCCATGGGGTCCCTTGGTGTCTCAGGTGACCTTGGCACCTCGGGGGCTCATCCCACAGGCAGCTGGATCCTTAGGAGAGAGGACTCGCTGGAGAGACTGAGGCAGCCCCACCGTGGTGAGAGTGCAGGCAGAGCAGGACGAAGCCCTGGGGAGCCCCCTCACTGAAGGGGTGCACGGGGTGAAAGGAGCCCAGGAAGGCGGCGTGGAAGGAGTGTCAGCGAGGGAGGGGGAAGACCCGGGAGGTGAGGGGAAGGAGTGCCGGGAAGGGACGCAGGAGCCAAGCGTCAAATGCACCACGTGAGGAAACGGAGGGTGAGGACATGTCAGGGTGACGATGACTCACATTCAGGACGCTCCCACAGTGCTCCGGGCTCTGTCCCAAGTTCTGACCATCCTCACAACCACTCCAGAGGTCTGTGCTGCGGAGACGCTCATTTCACAGATGAGGGTCCAGGAGAGAGCTGACCGAGGGCTGGTGAAGGGCCTGACGGAGGCAGCTGAGCTTGTGTCAATAGTGACATCTGTGGCCCAATTTCTTTTGGGCATCTTCCCTCCTTTTTAGCCAATATAGAATGGGCTCCGGTTGATGGAGCTGATCCGTGTATTTCGCCCATCCTCCTTCTAATCTCACTGATTGGTTCAAGGATGATCACATGACCTCATCCAAATTGGTGAGATCCAAGCCCAGGACTTTTAGGGAGAGTAGCTCTATTTCTTCTGTGCTGAGTACATAAGATGAGTTGATGTGAGGCCTGGAGCTGCTGCAGCCATCTTGCAAGCATGAGGGTTAAGCCTATCTGAGAATAGGGACAACACAAGTTGGGAAGCGGAGCTGAACAAGCCAGAGAGAGCTGGACAACAGTGTGACCACAACCTCTGCCTCAAGCTGGACCTGAAGCCAATATTACCCCTGAACTTGATCGTTAGCAAGCCAGTAAATTCCTTCTCTTCTTCACTAATTTGGGTTGGCTTTCCCGTCATTAAGTAAAAGCAAACTGTATCAGTTATCTAGGGCCACAGTCAGGCCGTGTAACAAACCGCCCCATAGCTCAGGGGCTAAAGCAGTCAAGCTCGTGAGACTGGGTGGGCGCTTCGGCTGCACTCAGCTGGGAAGTTCTTCTGGTCTCGGCTGAGCTCACACACATGGTGGCCCACTGAGATGATGGTGACAACAGGACACACATCCAGGCTGTGGTGGCGATGACTTGTGTCCCTGTGGATGTTTTGTCTCTAGGACTTTCAGCAGTCTGGGATGGGTGCTGGACAGGTGGTCTGATCCTGACGCAGGGTCAGGCTTTTCCCGCAAATCTGCAGAACTGGGTTGCAGGAAATTAGGGGAGCCTAAGAGAGGGCAGTTTTTTTGCAGATTGTCCCTCAATCTCGGTTTGTAAGATGTTCCCTTGGGGTTTTACATTCAGGCAGCAGAACTCACAGGTCACGTGGGGTGCTTCTCACAGCTTCCCACACAGTCCACTCGTCTCTGTGGGTCCGTGAGGTGGGGGGGGGGGGGGGTCCCACCATTCTGTGGCGATGTCACTCCCTCTTATCTGGTGTGCAATCCAGTCATTCTTTTGTGGCTCATTCTTTTGTGCATTATCCCTTCCTTTGTCAGCAACAACCCAGGTCAGGTCTGAGAAGGTGGGCGCATCCCTGTGCCAGCTGCCCACCCACTGCTGGGCAGAAGAACCGTTCAGCCGAGCCTAGCCCCAATTCTAGAACTGTGCGCAAGTAAACTGTTGTTTAGTCTACTAAATTTCAGGGTGGTTTGGTTGCAGCAATAAATAATCTAGAGTAAACTAAAAATAAAACAATACTTTAATTTAAAGGAGTTAGTTTCCTGGTATAACTGAGTCTCAGGGAATTTACTAGAATGGCAGGTGAGGGGCCAAGGATGCTGGCCAGATGGCTGCCCTGGGCAAGACCTGTCATTCCTTTGACCTTTACGCAGAGGTTTGTGGATGTCCCATGATTTGGGGTGCATGGGTGCGGACTCCTGGTGGGCTCCGGGATGACGGGCCTTCAGGATTTGGGGGTTTTGCCTGCCCGCAGCTCAAGCCCTAACCTGGGAAGTGACCCTCCGGCGCTTTAATGATTGAGTTGACCACGGTCATCAGTACTGCCCGTGTCTCTCCCATCCTCATGGGCTTTTCAGCTTGCCACACATTTCTGTTATCCTCTGACTCTGTGAGCCTCTCACACCTTCCTGAACATCGAGCTGAGGGTGACAGCTGTGCCTGATGCTCCCAGAGCACAATGCCCATCCCCGGGCTCTGATGACTTGGCACCAGCCCTCACCTCCGCCACTTACCGTGGTCCTCCTGAGCATAGGGACGTCCTCTCTCAGGGTCCACTGACCGCCTCCCCCCTCCCCCCCACTGCGCCTGGCTGGGCTAGGAGCTTGGATGGTGTTTGGCCGTTAGCCCAGGCATCACCACCAGCCCCTCCTCCTCCCCCTTCCTTGCCTCTCCCTCCATCTTCCTCCTCCTCCCTGTGGATACTGACAGAGGGCGTGCAGGTTGGCGGCTACGAGCTCAGCTTCCGGTATTAGGCAAACCCTGACTCGGCCATTCACGGCCTAATTATTTAATGTGCCCAATCTGTAAAACAGGAACGGCGGGGAGGGAAATCTTTTTGCTTAGAGTTTGGCACAAAATAAGCACTTTAATAATGTCTGTAAATGTTCAGGCTGGTGATGATTCACTCGGCCGTGACTGGAAGGTTGTGAGCCGGATCACAAACGGCCGGTGGCTCCCCATCGCCCTCTTGTGGCTGAGCGGGGCACCTGCATCTCCTCCACTCAGTCCTGCACCCGCAGGGGCGCCTCCCTGGGCTCTGGGAGTGTGGCCGAGGCCAGGCCACAGCTACGCAGGTAAAGTGCTTAGAACCTTTCGGGTGCTGAGGAGACGGTGGCCGTGCTCTGGCCACCAACGCTGTGCCACTCCTCCCCAACTCCAGCCTCGGTCTCCCCTTCTAACATGGAGGCCGCACAGCCACCCCACAGGGGACCAAGGCAGAGTTCAAAGTGTGTCCACTCCCACCGTCTTGGAGACTCTGCTTAGAAAATACCCAGAGGGCCCCCTCCCGAGGACAATGCCAGTATCCACAGGGCCCAGAGGGAGCCTCCAGGAAGCCCCCACATCCCACGGTCCCAGGAACCATCACAGCACAAGTGCAAGGTCAGCTCCACGGGAGAGAGATGACTGATCCTGGAGGCCATCCGCACCTCCCCAGAGGGTGGCAACAGGACCCAGGCTGGGAATCCAGGTCTGGCTTGTCCTGCCACCAAGCGGCTGTGTGACCTTGGGACCCCTGACAATGTCTCGATGCTCCGAGAGCACAATTGTGGGAGAATCCCTCTCCTCTCTGCAGAGGCACCAAAGCCTTCACCTAGATCCCCAAAGGGGTCCCCGCCCACCTCGGGAGGGTGGGTGCCGCTGGCTCCAGGCGCTCTTCTGCCTTCTGTGGACCTCGGTCCGGCGCCCCCGTCCCCCTGGGAGGGAAGGATGCTCCCTTGGTGTGCAGGGTAACTGCCTCGCTCGATGCAGGCGCTCTGCACGCCCCCTTCCCACCGGCTGTCCAGTCCTAGGGAAGGCTCAAGCCCCGCTGACCCAACAGTTGGCAGCGAGGTGTCTTAGCAAGACCAGAGCCACGCCCTGGCATCCCTGCCTGCCCGGAGCACCCCCAAACCAGCCACACGCACACCCTCCAGACTTTGTAGCTGTTTTTATTATTAATATTATCTTCTCCTTTAGGCATCCCTTTAAGGGTGAAATGAAATCCAACCATTTACAGAGAAAATGATTTCAGAATGTACATATTGATTTTCCCTTACAAAAAAAATAATACTATTATTATTATTCGTGTCTTTAAATTATACATTTCCCAGGGCCCTGCATTCTGCTTGGGCGAGTCCTATCTCCCCACCCCAACTGTCACCTTTGCCCCTAAAGCTCTCCCAACGCCTGCCCCAGGAACCAATGTGACCTGTGGGGGGGGTCCTTGAGTCTAGAGGTCACAGGGCCAGTGGTTCCCAGGAAAGAAATCTGGATATGGCGATAGGGCCAGCGGTATGCTGACGTTCACATTGTTTGGCTCCCCTCCATACTGGGGGAGTGGCCCATGGCTCCCCCACCCCCCAAAATTCCCAGTGTATGATGTGATCATTTTGAAACTCCCCAACCCCATGCCTGGCCCCCCACCCTCTGACAGCTGTCTTCTCCACACCATGGCCCTGGGTTGGAGGGTAGGCGGGGCCTGGCAGGTCTGGGCTCCTCCCCTCTCCTTCCCCGGCCCCTAAGCTGGTGAAACGGGAGGCCGAGGTGGGAGGGGGCATTTCCACCACAGCTGGGGGTGCCAGGGGCAGGGGGCGAGGAAGCCGTCAAGGAGGGAGGCCCCAGCTGGGGCTCAGGCACGATTCAGTCCCCAAAGACTGCCCATCCAGAGGGCCAGCAGCCGTGGCTGGGAAGAGCAGGCCTTGGCCTGGGCTTACCCACAGCCACAGGGACACCCTGACCTCTTGAGCCACTTCTCAGCCCCAAGAGGGACCAGAGAGGGAGGCTGCTGTAACTCCAAGGGAGGGGTTCCCAGGAGGGGGGGGCAGCAGAGCCCCCTCAGTCTGCTTCATGCCTACCCACCAGAGGCTGCTCCGTTGCCAGCTCCCCAGACCATGCCAGCCCCTGGCACTTCCCCAGACAGAGCCGTGGCACAGAAGACACGCTCCTCTCCTCAGGAAACCCCCAATAAGACACTCAGGGAAAGTCCCAGCTGGAAGCTGGGGGGACAAGGTGGAAAGAATGTGGTTGGGGCCAGGAGGGGCTGGGGAGGTAGTGAGCTCTCAGCATTCCTTGGACTGAAAGACAGACAGACAGACAGACAGACCCCCCCATCAGCCTTGCTTTCCCGGCTCCCTAAGGGCTTTCTGCCTCAGTCATTTTGGGGAGCTGCAGGAGGTGTGGCCACAGGCTCCAGGTCCTGAGGAAGGGTAGCCTGGGCCCTGCTCCCAAATCCACACACAAGCCTATATGTACAGGGACACCCCAACACAGACACATCACAAGGACACACCAAGCATGCACCCATGCCCATAAATACACACACACGCGCACAGACACATACGGTTCCACAGGCAGGCTCTGTATCTGGGCACCTCTGGGCAGACATCCGAGGGAGCCTCAAGGAGGGGGGCACCTCCTCTTCCCACAGCTGCAGGCTCTCCCTGCACCCAGCCCTGGGCTGGCAGCAGGGTCAGGCGCAGGTTGTTCTGAGAGCTCTGAACACAAGAGCAGGATCCTTTGACTTCAACAGTCATTCCGACCCTCTCGCCCCTCCCCCTGTGCCAGGGACGCTCCTCACCCCCCACCCCTCCTCTCCTCCTCCTTTAACAAGAGAACTCCCAGGCTGAGGCTGGGTACACGGCCGCCCAGCTGAAGACTACCTTTCCCAGCTTCCCTTGCAGCTACTGTGGCCACGTGACTAAGTCCTGGCCAGTGAGATGCGATCAGAAGTGACTGTGCCATCTCTTAACAGGAAACGGTGTGCACTTCCCTTGCCTTTCTCTGCCTCCCCGGGCTTGGATGCACATGTGATGGTGGGAGCTGGAGCAACCCCTCCATCCCAAATTGGATGGTGTGTATGAAGGGAAGCAGTGTGTCCCACCAGCCCTGGACCTCTCCCTCTGGACTGTTCTTGGAAACAAGCTCACCTTGCTTAAACCACTGTGTTCTGGGGTCTCTTAATTACAGCAGCTTAGAATCTACTCAACGAATACACCCCCCGCCTCCAGGAGGCACACTAAGGGCAATGAGATGACATATAACTGGCTTTAACATCCCTCTTAGGCCAGCCTCGTGACCCCTTTCTGGTTCCCCACCAGCCCCAAGGAAGGGCACGAGGGTGACTCCCCCTGAGATGGTGGAGAGTCTCCCCCGACTCCTCACCCCTGACCTTAGGTCCGACCTGCTGGCTCCCAGCCCACCCCGAGACCTGGACTCCAGGCCTGGCAAGGACTGAGTGGGCAGCCCACAAGACAGCAACAGAGAAAGGGAGAAGGAACGTCAAGGCCAGGTTTGGAACCCAAAGGAAGACTCCTGGGCTTCCCCAAGCCCCACACCCGTCAGCTCAGGAGGGGCCGGGGAGGTGCCATGGGGGCAGTGGTGTCCTGTGGGGCAATGGGGCGGGGGGTCTCAGCTCCCTCCGGCCCAACACTCCTGAGGACCCCGCAGAGCCTCCATCAGCGCTTCCTCCCAGCTCAGTGCCGTTCTCCACACACACCCCCACCACCACCTTGAGGTCCCCTCTTCCTCCTGGACCCAAACGCCTCTATCTACAGAGGCCCAGGACTTCCTGGAGTCCCCCTTGCCCAGTGCAGTTCTGAAGCCCCAGGAGGTCAAACAGGTGGGCTTCTCCCGGGTGGGGGCGGCAGCTCTGACCCGGCTGCCCTGGGGAGCTCCTGCAGGCTCCCTCCCCCAGCCCGCCCTCCCCTGCTACCCTGTAACCATCATGCACTCTCGCTGGCACCTCCAGCCACAGCGCTCTCGCTGGCCGAAGGACCACACTCCCCTCTCCTGACAGGAAGGATGTTTTGTGAGCTCACAGGCCTGATCCTGAATCACAAGGCCTTACCAGGGAGGACGCCCCCACCCATCCACTCCTGGTCCTCCCAAGAACCAGCCAGATGACAGAGGGAGGCAGGAAGACGACAGGAGAGGGCGCCGCCCACCGCCACCCTCGCCGTGCCGCTGGCCGTGTAAGATCATGCAGCCTTAGCCTTCGACCGTGTCCAATTTGCCCCTAGCAGATGGCCTTCCCTCGGGACCCTTGTTGCGCTGCCCAGCCTCCTCCGCGCTCTTGGGCTTCTGGTAGGGGTTGTCCAGCAGGTAGCGGAACTGGTCGTAGTTCTTGAGCAGGTACTTAGGGGCGTACATGTGCTCGCTGGGGTCGGCGGGGGGGTACTCCTGCTGCGTGCCGTCAAACCAGCCCCCGGTGCGGATCAGACCCCGGATGTAGTTGAGGTCCCGCTTGTCCTCATAGTCTCCCCAGCGGGGGAAGTCGCCGTTCTGGGCGGACACGAGCTTGAAGTAGATGCCCTCGGGCGTGAAGCACCAGGAGCAGTGCCAGCCGGCGAAGTGCAGGGGGCTGCCGAGCGACCACTGCACCAGGATGTGGCCGGTGCGGTTCTCGTACTGCCGGAAGTTGGGCATGGTGTAGTACTGGCGGCGGCGCAGGCGGATGCCGTCCAGCCCGTACACCGTCTGCAGCATGTCCACCGTGCAGCCCGACACCACCTCCAGGGTGCCCGGCTGCTTCCAGAAGAAGCCGTACAGCGACTTGCGCATGTGGAAGGCGAAGGGCTCGGTCCAGCCGTCGTAGAGCTTGAGGAAGAGCACGCCGTCGCGCGCGGGGATCTCGTCGGCGTCGTCGATGATGAAGACGTCGTCGGGCCGCAGGTTGCGCAGCCGGGACACGCCGTCCTGCGTCAGGAAGGTGCGCAGGTAGTCGTCGGCGATCCAGCCGTCCTGCCGCCCGCCCAGCGGGAAGTGGTCCAGGAAGACGTACAGCACCTTGTGCCGGATGTACTCGAACGTGCCGTTGGTCAGCATCTCCCGGAACTTGAGCGGCCGCGGCTCCCCGTAGGCCGTGAAGTTGGACTCGCACACCACGAAGGCGTCCACCACGTCGCCCAGCTCGTGGAAGCGCACGTCCAGCAGGTCGAACTCGTGGTTGATGTTGATGGCGTTGATGACGCGCCGCGGCACCTCCCGGGGCACCAGGCGCTCCTTGGTGGGCAGGTTGGAGTGCTGCACCACGGTGGGCACGCCGCAGCTCGGCCCGTGCCAGCCCGGCAGGCACACGCACTCCACCCACTTGCGCCGCGCGCCCCCGCGGCCGCCCGCGCGCTCCCGGGCGCTCAGCAGGTGCCGGGCCGGGCCCCGGGCCGAGGAGCCCCCGTCGCCCCCCTCCGCCTTCTCCTCTGGCCGCCCCAGGGGGGGCTTCTCTAGCATCTTGGTACCTGGTTTGAAGCAGACGCCCCCGGCTTTGGTGCGGACGAAATACTCGGTGGTGTCCTCGGGCAGCACGAAGTACATGCGGTGGAGCTCCTCCGTGGCCTTGCTTGGCGGCAGCGGCTGGAGCAGGGGCGAGTGGGAATAGAGTGGGGTCCGCAGCAGGTCCGGGCTACCCGGCTCCGGGCTGGCCTGGGGCGTGACGGGGGCATTGTTCCAGAAGAAGCTGGACACGAGGTTCGGGCTGAGGGAGGCCAGTTCTCGGGGGAAGGTGACATAGGACAGGGTCTTAAAGAAGTGCAGGAAGGAGATGAGGCACAGGCCGGCCATACAGAACATGAGGAACAGCTTATAGCGTCTCATCTTCATCCTGCAGGGAAGAGGGAGACAGTGGACGGGTCAGGGGTCTGCAGACCTGGCGGGCGGAGCCCGGGGCTCTTCTCCTAGGAAGGGGCCTGAGGATGCCTTTGCTGGCACCCTGTTTGAATGTCCTGGCCAGTGCCCGATGTCACTGCATCAAGTCACCTCCAGCCCTCAGCGGTCAAGCCTGCTGTACCGAGCACCCCTGGAAACTCTCCTCCTGGCTCAGGACACCCCTGCTCCCACAGCCCTTCCCCCGAGACCACCAGGCCACCGCACATCCCCCTCTGCAGCCTGCTCCCCCACCTGGCCCGCCCTCCCTGAGTGGACCAGCTGCATTGCTAGGCTTTGCTCCAGGAACAAAGTGCATCCTGGGAAAAGCTCGACCCTGCAGTGCAGAAGCTGCCCCAGAGGGCTCACAGGCCCCCGAGAGGCGGGGAGCCGGCTGTGGACACCGGGCCCCTGCCCTGCCCTGCCCTGCCCAGGTGCTGTCCTTGTCTGTCCGTCCTTCCTTCCTTCCAGACAAATCTTTTTCATACCTTTTCACTGAAAAAATTCACAGGCTTCAAGGGATGACACTTAATTCTAACATATTTGAAGAATAAAACCAAGTAAAAGTTCCCCTGCATTCCCCCCGCCCTGTGCTGGACTGACGTCCAGGCAGAAACAATTTGATCCGTTTGAGATGTATCACTGGTTTATATGCAACTCTTATGTTCTTGGTTTAATAGCTTTCACAAATATTATCTATCGGACGCTAGGTGCAATCAGTTTTTCCTCCATCAATGGTAGAGATTTTCACATCAGTAGAAATAAATCTGCCACTTCCTTTTAAAGGTCACATACAATTCCAGGGTTGTGTCGAATGAATCGCTGTCTGCTCCTGAGTGAGTCAGGAATGGAACCATGCTCCCCTCACTTGCGTGGTTTAACTTATCAGATAGTTTATGGCTGTGGACTGGGGACACGGTTTTCACAATTTAAGTAGACTATTTTAGAGTATTTGTAGCTTATCAGAAAAGGTGCCAAGATAGAGCAAAGGGTCCCCTTCCACCCCTCACCCAGTCTCCCCTCGTTTGACATCTTACACGACCACAGCACATTTGTCACAACTGGGAAACTGAAACGGACGTGTGACTATTAACTAAATCTCCACCCTTTATTCTGACGTGCTGTTTATCTGATGAATCTGTGCAGCCAGGGAGCACTTCTGGCTGGAGCCAGCAGCTCAATGTGTGCTGGACCCAGGCGGGGCAGGCAGGCAGTCACAAAGCAGGGCCACGACTCCAGGCGGCTCGACTTCTGTGCTACACGCCCTCCCCAGCCTCACCTTTGTGAGGAGTCCTGAGCACACGAGCGAGGAACAGTCAGTCACCAATCCCGCTGGCCAGGGTGGGACTGCTCTCGGTCCAAGATGTTCCCCTCCTCCAGTTGAAGTACCTGGCCCTCCTGGAGCCTGCCCGCGGTGGCTGGCACAGCTGACTGCAGGCAGGACAATCGGGGGTGGGGGCCTGGCCTCTGCTAAATGTCAGCCGTCCCAGGGCAGGGCCGGGGCTGGTCCCCACTGGCTTTTGGGAAGGCGGGAGGCAGGGCTGCTCCTCAGCAACATTCTGAAGTGGGTCTCCTGGGCTCCTCTCTCCACAGTGGACTCCAGCCCTGCTCTGACAAAGCGAGGCAGGGAGACCCAGCCGGCAGGGTGTGGACAGGCCGAGGGGTGGGGCCTGATCCAGGCAGGTGGACAGGCGTTCTTGCCATGGCCAGGACCAGGCAGAAGGCAGCACTGCCAACTGAGGTCAGCACGGCAGAAGCCTCGAGAGGGACCCACACAAGGGGCTTCAGGACCTGGCAAGGCAGCCCCGATCCTTCTGGCAGACTGTTTTCCTCCCACTTCTGCTTCTGTGGGGCACACCCCAATCCCAGCCCTCGTTGGACGACTGACCCGTGAGCTGGGCAGGGCAGGGCCTGGCTGCGTCTCAGACCAAATCCTCCAGCAGCAACGAACACAGGCCTTAGCAGGTAAGAGCAGCTCAGGGAGGCAAGCGAACGCCCTGCCTGGTGCAATGGGGCCCCTGTGGCTCTGCCGTAGTCACCTTGACCCAGCTGCCCCACGGCTCTCCAGCCAGGCTGGCTTTCAGGATCTGGTAACAATTGGCGGGCTGTGCCCTTGGGAGCACAGACTCACCAAAGCCTGGAATCTCCCTTTGACTCACAGGGGCCTTTAGGCATAGGCCCCTTGATGAGGCCCCAGCCTGGCTTGCTGCTGAGAATCATGGAACTGAGCATGTTTCCCTTGTCACTCAGGCTGCTAGGAAGCTCAAAAATGCACGGTGGTCAGCCCAGAGCAAGTCAGTACCTCTCAGACCACATTTTCTGGGACACCATTGCTCATGGCTGCCTGTATTTTTTTTTTAACTCTTATTCTTCTGGCCTAATTCCTTTTTCTCTTATCTTCATGTGTTTTAACTAGTGCTTCAAATACACCCTTTTGACTGAGAGGCATATAAATAGGAAACTGAATAAATAAATAAGCATTCGCATCCAGGGTCTCAATCACCCTGGGAGGTCATGTAACTGCTCTGTTTTTACAGATGGGGAAATTGAGACTCAGCAAGATGACAAGACTTTCCCCAAAGGACAGTAAGAAGGTGGCCGAGTCAGGACTTGAGCTGTTCTGTTTCCGAGCCAGAGCCTCTCTCCCTCCTTACAGCTGAGACCGAGTCCCTGCCTAGTGGCCCGGCTGTGGGCTAAAGCTGCGAAACCACATTAGGCCCAGCTGGCAGCATTTCTCCCTCCGTTATATTTCATTGAGAAACCCTCAGGTGTAACCATGAAGCTTCTAAGCCAGCCACTGTCCTGAGCACACTGCACAAGCAACCTCACTGGGTCCTTCCAACACAAAGCAGGTACCACTGTCGCCCCATTTTACAGGCGAGGAGACTGAGGCCAGGAAGCTGATGGCACATGCTCAGTGTCACACAATTAGCAAGGATCAGGCTCGATTCTGTGGGGTCAATAGTGGAAATTCATCCCGTGGTAAAGCTGTTGGGCCCCTTCCATCTGCCAAGTTCAACCCAAGCGGGGTGACAGGGGCCCCACGAAGAGTCCACCAGTGACCAGTGAAGACATCCAGGGGGTGGAACAGCCACGATCGCCTTGGACCACACAACACCCCGCAGGCTGCTCCCACAGCCCGTCATCCGTTCACACAGCAGCCACCTGTTGAGAGCCCGCCATGTGGCCGGCACTGCGCCAGGCCTGGGAGCACAGGGGACGAGGTGGACAAGAACCCCCGCCCTCGTGGAGCACACACGGGGCTAAGCAGGGCAAGGAGACGGAACAAACGGAGAATAAGTGAGTCAGGTAACATCATGCATTAGACAGAGTCATGCTCTGGAGAAAAATGAAGCCATGCAAAGGACAGGAGGGGTGGCTCAGTGACCAGCAGGGTGGTCAGGGCAGGCCGCACGGGGAAAAGCGAGACTTGAAGAAAGGGAGGGTGCAGGGGATGAAGGTTCCAGGCAGAAGGAACAGCCGGAGTCAGGAGGAGGGTGGACGGGAAGGAGATGGCGGGCCCAGACCACGCAGAGCCTGGGGCCACAGCGGGGACCGTGGCTCCCATGGGGGATGCTGAGCGGAGCAAGGACATGACCTGACTTTGGTCTGAACAGGCTGACTCGGGCTGCTCTGTTGAACAGACTGTCGCCTTAAGGGCGGGGCAGGGAGAGCGAGAGGAGGCTGCTGTGATGTCCAGGGGAGACTGGGGTGGCCTTAAGTTCAAAGTGTGAGCGAGGAGTCCAATACGGTGGCTCCAGGACCCAGAAGGATGGAGTAGCCCCTGACTAGGGCGGAGGCCACCCCTCCCCACCCAACAGCCTTCGTGGATGGAGGCAGTGAATGGCAGAGCCCGGCAGACACTGAGGCTGAGTGAAGGGCGTGGCCACCGTCACACAGCTGGCTAACGGCAGAGCCTGGCTGTAACCTTGGTCTCTGGATCAGAATGTCAGGTCCCTTCCACAGTATGCTCCATCTAGAAGCTTCACAGAATGGATGGGGGCAAGGCGAGCAATGCTTCAGATGTGAGGTCCCCCGAGGCTCTGGGAGTGGGAGCTGCGGGTGGGCACTGTCCAGTCCACCACTGCCCACCCCCACCCCATGCTTCCCAGGAAACATCAGCTAGAGCTCCTCCAGCAACTCGGGACCCGGGGTGGGGCGTGGTGGTCAGGACCTGCCTAGAGAAGCAAGCTTAGCTGAGGAAGGACTGGGGGTCTCCCAGGGGCTGGGCCGTTGCCCTCTGAGGACAGACCCGTCCTGTCTCTCTCCTGCTGCGGCTGATTCTCTGGCAGCTCAGAGGCCACACGAAGGCCTTCACTCAGGTCAATAAAATTCACGGAGTATCTCTCGGGTGCCTGCTTTGCGCCAGAGCCGGCCTCCTTCTGCCCCAGGCCTGAACCTGGACTGCGCCCTCCCAACCCTCTTCCTGACTCCCCACAGGGAGCACTGAACCGTCATCTGGGTTCATATGGCCACTGTGAACCTGAGCCTCATGCTCACTTGGCCTCTCCAAGCCTCAACTCCTCCATCTAGAAAATGGACATAACCATTCCTGTCCTGCCCACTTCAAAAGGGACACACAATCAGAGAGGCCAACCCACAGCCCTGTCCCTTTCCCAAGGCTCGCCATGCTGGGCTCTTCTCCCCCGACATCTGTCTCCCTAGCTGGACCACGAGCTCGCCGGGGCAGGGAGCTGTACACAGCAGGTGCTCAACAAGAGTGCCCTGCACAGCCCTGGGCCTGCTGACCATGCTCACCATCGCTTCCACGTGCACGACTGCAGCACCAGACTGCCCGGTTCAAATCCTGGCTCTGCCATTTTCCTGTCTGCACGGCCTTCGGCAGATTAACCACCTTCCTCTTTTTTCTCATCTACAAACTGAGGGTCCAATAATAACCCACCTAAAGTTTCCAGCACATAGTCAGCACCCAATAAGCTTTCACTCTTCTTATGGCTA